TTGTGAAGAATGTTGCTGTAAACCAAAACCCTGCAGTCATTGAAGCTGCAGTAAAACCAAAACCCAACAGCGGTTGCATCGGCAGGTGGTGAATCTGGAGCTGACCATAACACTGCAGGCTTTGAATCTGCAACAGCATAACCCGAAAACTGTTGCATCTGCAGGATATCTGATGAGAATCATGTAGCTTCACATCGAAGTCAACACCAAATGAAGGAGCAAAAGGTGTTCTTGTCAGTTGGTGGTCCAAGGTTGTTTCCGTTTAAAAATAGAAGAAAGTTTGCTGTGAGAACTTGGCCTTCTTTGAAGGAGTATTCACCAACGCCTTCTTGATGTATATTTCTACCAAATGATGCAGATTTCATGTGCACAATCGGAAGCAAATTTATTTAGTGGTTGTCCCGGACTTTACCATATAAATTTACACAACAAGATCAGTTTGATATGATCCAAAATCAGAAGGTCTTGGATATGAAGAGAATTCAAAGTGTATTCAAAGGAACACAAAGATGGATTCGGGTGGAAAGGATAGAAATGGGGTAGAATAATTTATGATATGAATGCCTAAATGGTACCTTAACCCTTTCAAACACTAGATGAGAATCAGATTTGAACAAACTAAGGCATGAAAAATTTAACCATTTCAACAATTCACAAAAAGCTCCACAATCTAGTTAAATCATAAACTAAATTGCACACTTACTACATAACAAGCTACAAGCCGTGCTATGCTACCAAACTTGAAGAAGCTTGGAATTCTCAAAGGGTCTTCCTCTCAAGGATTCATACATGAACAATGACTTCAAAAACTACCCAAAATGGTTGTTTCTTTTTCGAGTTTAAAGGACAAAAGAACTAGACAACTTGCTTAATAAAATATAAAAAAGTAATGCTAAGATGGTTCCTTGTTTTGTAGTTGACTAGGGCAGCTGGTGCAGCTATTATTTACCTAGGATTTCTTCACCTTTAAGTCTTCAAAACATTGTCAAAGATGGCTGCAAAGTTGGACCATGAGTTGTCAACAAAAGTGGCTCCACTTGGATTACACCATGACTTGCTTTTATCCTTCAAATCTGGCCACCTTTTATTGTTGAGGGTTTGGCCAAAATTTTAATGAATTTAGACCAGATTGTAAGGCTCCAAGATACCTTAAGGATGGTTGAAAAAGATGGCCAAAAAGGAGTGATATGAATTGGCCTAAATCTGCTCAAAATTGGTTAACTTCTTCTTGGGCAGAAATGGAGGAAATTGACCCATTGAGGTGTTGCCTCCATCTTTGCTTCTTCATGGTGCATTGTGAGGTTGAGGAGTGTTGCCACATTTGCGTTGAGCTTCCTAACTTGTGATCTTGTAAAAGGCTTTGAACTCAAAGGTGTGCTATTTTCTTCAATGATGGGAATGTAGGTTTGGAAATTCTCATCACTTCTAGTGGGAACAATGAGGTTGAAGAAGAATCACTTAATCATTAACAAGTGTCTGAGGAGTCAAGTGGTGATTTCCCTAGCAAGTGGAATGATTCAAGTGATGAAGATTCAAGTGATGTCCAAGAGATTGATGCAAATGAATTTGTTCCAAAGAGTAGGCGTCTTGAAGAGATTTAAGATACACATTCAAGTGTGTAGAAGACATCAATTTGAAGTTGAAGATTTGAATGGGGCCGTCCGTGCCAAAGAAGAGGAAGAGCCACGCGGGAATATATCTAAATATTTATTTAAATAGATAAGTCTATTACCACGTGGGAATAGATAATAAGTCTATTTACCTATAGTTAAAATAAAAAGTTTACCATAAAGGTAACTTCAATAAGGCGGCCGAGAGGGAGTCCTAGGGTTTTCATAAATTAGGGTTTAAAGGTTAATGTATAGCCCGGCCATAGAAAGTATTTCATTGAGGGTAGAATAGTCTTTTACCATTAAAAGAAGTAAATAACTTTGCTTGATGGTTAAGTTTAGTTAGAGTTTGAGTCAAAATTAACTACGTCTTTCCTTTCTGTGAATTGGATCGAGTAGTACAAGGAAAGTAAAGTTTCTTTGGCCTAAAGTAAAGGCTAAATAGTAGGGATCTTGTCTTGGAGAGCAAGGAAGCTTACCCATATAAGGTGGCCAAATCCTCTCACAAAAGTGTGTGTCGAAAATTATGAGTTATTAAATCAAATAAATTGATTTGAGCCCTTTGTGGTTTTTTTTTAAACAATGAGTGTTTCTTATTGTTTTGAAGGAGAGGAATGGTTAGTTCTTTCTTTCTTTCTTAGAGCCTAACGTGTGACTTGGTTCCTTGAATTAAACCGTTTTATCATGTTTATGTGTTGCATGATTTAATTGTTTTAAAACTAATTTTTGTTATCATCTTTTGATTTGAAGGTCGATAGGTTGAGCATGTTTGATTGCTTGGTTTTCTCGAATTCTTTGTGTCCTAGGGTTGTAGGATAACTTGTTAATTTATCTATTTGATATAGATGAGTTTGTATGGAAATAGCATGATGAATAATGTGTTTTTGATTTCTTATTGACTTGGTTATGATAGTGTCCTTACCAATATAGCATATATATTTGTTTGGTTGTTGCAGTTAAGTGAGTGATTTGCTCATTGCATGTATCGTCAATTATATGGGTGATTATTTGATTATATTGAAGGGTTTCATCTTTTTATAAGATTAAGTTATTCAATCCAGGTAATTATTAGGATTTTGTGTTTGAGCTTTGTTTGAGTTCCTAAGATAGTGGATTTCTATTTTAACGGTCTAGTTTATTTGTGAATTTTCACACTCCTTAAGAGTTTCACTTTTAAACATCTTTTTCGTACTTTCTCGATGATGGTTCCTTTAACAAAATTACATTCATCTTCTAGATTGCTATCAGTTTTTGTTATCAGAGCAAAGGTTGAGAAGATATCCGATTCCTCTTGGAATATGGTTCGAAACCCTAGCAATGAGCTAGAATTGGTGGCACTATCTTTTATTTTGATTAAGGTTCATTTTGTTTTCGAAAAGAGTTTTGAGAAAAGTAATTCAAACTAGATTTAAATTACAATTTCATAAGTTTTTGGTGCGAAAACTGGGTATTGCTTTAAAATGAATTTTTGAGTGTTTTGGTTTCTTGAAATTAGTGAGTCTTGTTGAAGTTGTGTAAACAATTGATTCAAGGAGGGCTTCACTCGAGATTATCCTTTGAGGATGAGATTTGAGATTGGTTTCTTCATGATCAAGTGACTTGGAACTTATGTGTGCTATGATTAATTGATTTAGGGTTTGATGCCAAAAGCAAAAGCGCACGGCCTTACCTTTTTGAGAGAGATTATGTATACACGAGCAAGTGTGTGCGTGTGTATAGGTCTAGGATTCTTTGAATTTAGGATCTATGAATTTCAAAGGTGGAGTATTCATGAAAATATATTACTTAGTGTATGGAAGTGACGATCTTTCCTTCTTGACTTTAGTTCTTATGAATTGGAGAAGAGTAAAATCTAGGGTTTGTGGTGTTTCAATCAATGAGACATCCATAATCGCTATTAGGTTTTATTAGATTGAGTCTTGTGTCGAATTAATGTAGTTTCAACCTAATGTGCTATGTGAAGTGTCTTCGTCGACTTTCTTGTCGAGTTGCGCATCGACTTGTGTGCGTTTCCGTCGATTTCCTTGTCGGGTTGTTTGTCGACTCTTGTGTGGTTTGATTTGAAGCTTTCTAAAGGTTTTAAATACAATATGTGTGCAAGGTAACTTAAAGAGATCCAATGTGTTCTTTGAACTTTTGGGTTAGTGATTAATTGTTTGAAGTTTTTTTTTTTTTTAAGAATAACGTGACCTTTCTTGTAGATATTAGATTTTTCATTGGTTTGGAATTTGATTTTCAAGAGTTTATCTTTTATGTGACTATGTGATTTAATTCTTGTTGAGTCATATGAATGAGATATGAGTTTTAGAGTTTTTACTCTAGGGTTTGCACATATAAGAGTTTTCATGACATACTTTTAAGATTGCTTGTGCTAAAAGTATCTAATTTATATTTTTTTAAGTGTTCTTAAACAAAATATTTTCAAAAATTAGGTCTTAGATTTTTTTTTAGTTTATGTGGTTTTCGTTTGTTGAGTTTCTTGAACTTGGTACATGAAATAAATTTGCTTGAATGCATGATTAGTATTTTTGAATTTCAATTATATGATTGAAAGAGGGGTTTTAGTATTTAACTAAAAGTTTTTGGCCTTGATTTTAATTGAATAAAATTCGAGGGTTACTTAATTGTGGAGTGGCCAAAATTTTGATTCCTATTTTTGAGTGGGAAAAGAAATTTTTGCTTGTGTGAATGTGTGTGTGTGCCGTGTTTTCTTTTTTCGAAATACCAAAAGAAAATTGGTTTTATTTGTTATTACCTATATAGTAGGAGGGGAATTAAAGGAGTTTCCTAAATGTTATTAAGGTATGTTACTTGTTTATTTATGTGTCTTTTCGGCTAAAGTAAAATTAGGGAATTAGGGTTTCTTTTAAAGAAAGTTTTCTAAAATTTAAAGTCTTATGAATTAAGTCAAATATTTTATTAAAATTGCTGTTCTTAAAATATTTTCGTCCAAATTGTGTATTAATTTTCGAATGAAAATTTGGAAATTATTTAGGGTTTTATTAATTAAGAAATTTTGAATTATTAAAATAGGAGAATTGCCTAAAAGCTAAACCTATTTTTAATTGGAAAGTCCTTGTAGGAAAAGCCATCTCATGCCTATATAAAGGGGTGTGTTGGTCGAATTTTTCATACATCCCAACCTCCAAATTTCTTTTTGATCTTTGAGCTAAAACTTGCATAATGTCTTAAGTTTGAAGGAGTAACTAAACCATCTCTTTTCTTTTTCTTTTCGAGAGATCACCTCTTAAAGGGTGAAAGAGAGTTTGTACTAGTAGTTGGAGAGTGTCGATTTCGAATATTCCTTTGATTCGAGAGGGGGGATTCTCAGATTTATCATCAAAAATCCACGAGAGTTTTCTAGTTGAAAGTAAATTTTTGCTCATCATCATGAGTGAAGAAATTGCTAAGTCAAAGATGTGTTGTCCATGCCGTGTCATTGAGGTGCGAGTGAAAGAATTGGAAGCATTGTTGAAGAGCTCTGAAGTGGGTGACATTGGAGTTCATGATGAGGTTGTCCACAAGCAATTGGTGAACTTTATGAAAAGGTGCTTTGTGTGGAACAAGAGCTTCAAAACCTTAAGTAAGAGCATGAAGGTTTAAGTAGGGGCATCTTCATCGAGTCTATGCAACGAGATTTGATCCAACGTTTTATTGAGGCAAATAATCGAATGGATGCAATGAAGGATTCTACGTGTGTTGGTAAGTTAAAAGCTTGAAAGTCCAAATTTCTATGGTGGGATTTGTGAAGGGGTGGAATCTTGGGTTAATTCTATTGAGAATTTGTTTGAATTGCTTAATGTGACTAGGGATAGTGTTAAGATCTCTATTGCTATCCAAGGTTTGTGAAATATAGCTAAAAATTGGAGTGTGCTATACTTGCGTGATATAGATGAAAGTGAGCATACTTGGTATGATTTTAAAGAAACAATATACAATAGGTTTTGGAGTAGTGACATTGTTTATGAAACCCAAGTTGAATTGTATGAACTTGTTCAAGGTGACATGGATGTTGAGTCTTATATTGCTAAGTTTGAGGAGTTGTGCTTGAATGGTAATAATAATGACTTGAATGAAGTGTTAGTTGTGAGATTCTTGAATGGCTTGAATTCTTGTAATAAAGATGATGTGTCTTTGATGGGAGAGAAAGATTTATTTCATGCATATTAAAGATTTATGTTGTTGGAATTGCGAAAGAATAGGGCTATTTGGAAGAAGTGTAATGATAATTGGAGAGAACGAGGTGTTGCTTTGGAATATACTCCACATTGTGTTGAGTCAAACGTAGATCATGTCTTTCGTACTATAGGTGCAATAGATTGGGTTGATAATTTGATTGTGACTATTGATGGGGTTAGTAACATCAATTATATAAGTGAAGAGTTTGTTAGAGTTAATCACATGGAGGTGAATGACTTAAGTGAACCTTACAAATTACGTTGGTTGCATGGTGGAATGGAATTGAGCGTTACTCAAAGTGTTATGGTGGATCTTCGCATTGGGGATCTTGTTTCGAGTGAGTCGCTTGATATTGTACCTATGAAGACGTGTGACGTTGTCATGGGTCTACCTTTCATTAAGAAGTTGGGAATGGTGTTTGTTGGTTCATTGAATGTGTTTTCATATCGAGATCATGAGAATAGAGTGGTGGAGTTGAGATCATTATCACCATGGGAGAGTTAGCATATCATGTTTAAGAGACGTGAGCTTGCTAGAGCGTTGTGCAAAGTGAAGGATGTACAACAAAATAAAAAGGAAGGTACATTCGAGGAGGGTGAATCGAGTGGTGGTGTAGGAGGAACACTCAACGCTAACCATGATTTATCTTTGTTTCATTTTGTAGGTAAAGATGTAAGTCTTGATTCGAGGACGAATCCTTTTCAACAAGGGGAGGATAATGAGAATCATATAGCTTCACATCAAAGTCAACTTCAAATGAAGGGGCAAAAGGTGTTCTTGTTAGTTGGTGGTCCAAGGTTGTTTCCGTTTAAGAAAAGAATAAAGTTTGTTGTGAGAACATGGCCTTCTTTGGAGTATTCACCAACGCCCTCTAGTGGAAACAATGAGGTTGAAGAAGAATCGCTTAATCATCAACAAGTGTCTGAGGAGTCAAGTGATTTCCCTAGCACGTGGAATGATTCAAGTGATAAAGATTCAAATGATGTCCAAGGGATTGATACAAGTGAGTTTGTTCCAAAGAGCAAGCGTCTTGAAGAGATTGACGATACACATTCAAGTATGTAGAAGACATTGAATTGAAGTTGAAGATTTGAATGGAGCCGTGCGCGCAGAAGAAGATGAAGAGCCGCGCGGGAAATATATCTAAATATTTATTTAAATTATCTTTGAGTCCGTAAATAGATAGTAAGCATGATGAATGATGTGTTTTTGATTGCTGATTGCCTTGGTTATGGTAGTGTCCTTACCAATATAGTGTATATATTTGTTTGGTTTGTTGTAGTTAAGTGAGTGATTTGCTCATTGCATGTATCGTCAATTATATGGGTGATTGTTCGATTATATTGAAGGGTTTTATCTTTTTATAAGATTAAGTTATTCATTCGAGTAATTATTAGGATTTTGTGTTTGAGCTTTGTTTGAGTTCATAAGATAGTGGATTTCTATTTCAACGGTCTAGTTTATTTGTGAATTTCCGCACACTTTAAGAGTTTCACTTTTAAACATCTTTTTCGTACTTTCTCGATGATGGTTTCTTTAACAAAATTAGGTTCATCTTCTAGATTACTATCTATTGCCTAACCAGCTGTCAAGATCAGGAAAGTCGCTCGTCTATTCAAAGGCAAAGCAGGCTCTCGCACCAGTTGGTGCAGTTTGATTTCTAGCAGTAGTGCTTACTGCTGGAAATCAAACTGCACCAACTTCTAAGCCTGTACCAAAAAATCAAACCCCGGTTCAGAAAAGAAGAAAGTTAGCATGCTACTCAAAAAGGGAAAATGCTAGAACCAGACTGAGAAACATGCAACAGAAAACCTAAGGACCAAGGAGGTTGCAGAACATGACTCTTTCATTTTAGAAGCAAGGCACTCTACCAAATTCAAATGAGAGCCCAACACCAAATTCAAGCGGGAATGAAGGAGCAAGTACTGAGAATGACTCTTTAAGAAAACAAAGTGACAATCAGGAAAATCACAGTTCAACGCACATTCCAAATGCAAATCATGGAGCTTGTTCAGTTTAGGATTCACCCTGAAATTCAAACCCAAGTCCAGATACTGGTTGTAATCGTAGTGAAGAACAAGTTCCTCAGTCTAGTCACTTGGGAAATTCAGACCGTGGTTCTCCTTTAAGTTTGGGAAGTACAAACCATAATTTTACACAAACTCCTGGGGTGGAAAGTTCAAAAGGTACTGATGCTAAGAATACAAATAGAAAGCAAAAATCTGGACCTAGGGAGATTTATGCTATCAAAGATGTGTAAGTATTCTCACATTTTGTTCAGGAAGTGGTTATATGAAATGACTTTTTTCTAATACAATTTTGTTGAATTCATATTAGGTTAAGTTACAGAGTGAGTGTACAAGAAAAATCAGAAGCAAGTTCGAGGATTGGTTGGAGGTCGGAGCATACTCTTGGCCATTTGTGAGCCAAGAAATGAAAGATTTCTATTTGAATGAATTCAAGGTAAGTTTATGAACTTTACTTGTATAAAGTTTTCTTTTCTCTTTTATATATTTATGTGTGCCTGTGGTAGCATGCATGATTATAGTGAATAGAAGGTCACTGAATCTAAAATCTGAGTAGTTTAATGATTAGAAACTTACTGAATATGAAAGCTGAGAATAATTTAATGTCCGTACTAATACTTAGACTATTTTGTAGAAATGTTTTACATGGGCTGAAATAGAAGGCCAGATAAAAGAGGTATGGTCTCTTCATTAGCAGCAAACCGTTACAATATGAGAGAATGGGATGAAAAGTCATGTTTTGTTCAGGAAGATGTGTGGGCTAGTTTTAAAAAACATTGGGAGAGTGAGTCTTTTCAGAAAGTAAGAAGAATGAATTCAAGTAATCGTAAAAGTAGCAAGAAGGGACCAGTGATTCATACTGGACGTTCAGTCTCATTTGTGGAGGATGCGGCAAGGCTGGTAAGATTTTCATTCCTAGCACTTTTGGGGTTCTGAGTATTGTTGTTTTAGTGGGTGTTTCCTTAAATATTAGAAAACTGATTCTGAATGTTGGTTCAGAGGCTTGTTTGATCTCTCCCCTTATTGAATTTTTTCATTCCTTGAATGGTCATCAGTACAATGCTAAGTTTGACCTGCGTGTAATTATTGGCAGGAACATGTTCTTGGTCACAAGCCTTCGTTGTATGAAGTATTCGCATTCACTCATACCATTCAGCATGATTTCAAGACCTTTGTTGATTCCAATTCTCAAACAGTTCATGTGAGTTTTGTTGAACACTTGAAACATTTAATCTTCGACTCCAATGTGCCCCTTTATGTATGCCTACTGGATTTTTCTTTCTGGATTTCATGCGCCCCCTTTACTTTAGATCATTTCAGCAAAGCTATTATTTTTTTGCTTCATATTGCTCAGAATTGAGAGTCCTTTCAACTTCTGATTCACTTGTTTTGATTCAACTGTTTGTGTGAGAGGTCGTTTTGTATGATATACTATTGCATCAAACTTTCTTCTCTTGTGGAATATGTGGATTTTAATTTGATGCATTCAGTTTATTCTATGCGAATTTGTCAACGCATATAAATGGATATTTTTATCGAGATTGTCTCTTTATGCATGATTTGCTGTTTATGTGATTTGCTAATTGTGGTCACGTGAGGAGGTTTCTTTTAGATTGGATAGCCTTTTTGACTTTAGCAAAGTCTTCAATTTGATATAGGCGGTCTTGTACAAGTGTTATTTATGGACTGAGAATTAGCCTAATTATCTTTTGATTCTGGCCTTTCTTTCTGGGAACTCCAAATGCTCTGGTCTTGTCTTTTTTTTTTTGCATGCAATCACTTCTCTTTTGGATTGCATATGAAACTATAACTCTTCTCCTGGAAATTATATAGTTGCGAAATTTCATTCATCCGTTCCCAACTTTGATGTCTACCAACTACGAATAAGTTCCTCACCTTCTTTTTGTGCCATGCATGTACATAAGACAAGTATGTGAATATTCGGGATAGAGTTATGCAGCCTGTTGCTGAAGACTCGGAACCTGAACGTGAGCTGGATGAAGATGCGCTATATCTCCATGCTGTTGCAGGTGAGAAGAAGGGAAGAGTATACGGCCTTGGCTCTCAAGTAGGCTCTTATTATTCCTTGGGTGCTAGAAAATCTGCACATTCTGATGTGGCGGTACAAAGCAAGAAGCTTATTCAGGATTTAACTAGCAAGGTTGAGGCTTATGTTTTGAAAATGGATAAGATGCAAACTGTGATGGAGAAGTGGCAAAAAACAATGGAGATGTGGTGCAAACAAAATGGTGTCCCATTCCTAGATCTTGATGTTGAGGATGATCAAACTCTTCAAGGCTTGAATGGGCAAAATGATTAAGCCGGTTCTGATGCTAGTGATTGGGATGGAAGGTCTGAGGATGATGACAACCACTCTCTAGGTTGATTAGCGTTGATCAATATATGTGTGTTGGTTTAGGATTTTTATTTTGAAAATGGATTTTTTTTGGTAATTTGACAATAGTTTGAACGTTTGTTAGATTGGATTGTATTGTTCTTTACAACTTTGTCGAATGGTTATTGGAATATTCGATTTAATGATTGAATTGACATTTGGTATTAGATTTGTTGGATCGGATTTGGTATTAGATTTGTTGGATTGGATTTGGTATAAATATAAATATTAGGGGCTAAATATAAATAATAATTCCAGCTAAAAATTGAACATGTTACCCACGACACAAGTCGGGAGCAACTTTTTTACAAATTCAGTAATTTACCCACGGAGTGTTGTAGTTATTTTTTTTTTCCAAATTCTGTAATTTACCCACAGATGTTTTCGTGGGTAAAAGTGTTATTAAAAAATTAAATTTTATTTTACCCACGACCGTCATGGGTAATATTATAAATTAGAATAAAAAAAATTGTTATTTACCCACGCAGTCCGTTGGTGATTTCTCTTGAATTTTGAAAATGAAGAGCCGAATTTCCCACGGAATCTTCCACAACAAGTATTGTGGGTAAATTACCCACAAAGTTGACTTTTGTTGGAGAAAAACTTACCCACTGGAATATTCCCCACATCGAAATTGTCATGGTGGATGACTTACTTGCCCACAGCCTCACAAGCAAATTACTCATGACTTTGGGCCGTGGGTAATGACCTGTTTTTTTGTAGTGAATGAAGAATTACTTGGTCCAGAAATACCACATCTTTGTGCTGATTTATCTCCTAGTCATACACGACCTGATATATCATTTGGTGTTCATTAGCTAGCACGATATAGTTCTGCACCTACGCAAAGGTATTAGAATGATATTAAACAAATATTTTGGTATATTCAAGGTACGATTGAGAAAGGGTCTTTATTATTCAAAGGCATCCAAGTTAGATCTGATTGGTTGTGACGATGCTGGATATTTATCCGCTCATAATGGTCGGTCGCAGACATGATATCTTATTACATGTGGAGGAACAACTATTTCATGGTGTTCTATGAAATAAACTCTAGCTGCCACATCCTCCAATCATGCTGAGATTTTAGCAGTTCATGAAGCAAGTCGGGGATGTGTTTGGTTAAGATTGATTGTTCATCACATTCGAGGATCATGCGGTTTGCATTTGGACAAACATGCCCCTACTATCTTTGTTTGAAGACAATATAGCGCGCATTGATCAATTAAAGGAAGGATACATCATACGCGATAGAACAAAGCATATATCTCTGAAATTCTTCTATACTTACGATCTTCAATAGAATTGTGAAATCATTGTTCAACAAATTCGCTCAAACGACAACCTGGTAGACTTATTCACTAAATCATAACCGACTTCAACATTTGAGAAACTAGTCCATAGGATTGGAAATGCGACGACTCAAAGATGTTAAGTGATGTGCTCAACAGGGGGAGTAATTACACAATGTACTCTTTTTTCCTTGACTAAGGTTTTTATCCCATTGGGTTTTTCCTGGCAATGTTGTTAACAAGGCAGTGTCAAATCTGGATAGTGTACTCTTTTCCCGTGACTAGAAAATTTTTCCAACGGGTTTTTTTCTAGTAAATGTTTTAATGAGTCTTTATTCTATAAACAACATCCAAGAGGGAGTGTTATGAAGCATATTAATTGTGGATCTTGTATTTAGTTCTCTTTATGGTTTTAACTTCATTTACTGCAAAACTCCTTTATTGACTCTTATCTTATGTAATTATGTGGTCATGGAGTTAACGTAATGTATTATCTTCTAATTTTAAAGAGGTTGGAGGGATGTTCAGGTTCCAACTGAGACAAAAAAAAACACTCAAGGGGTATATCTAAGAGATGTATTTTGAATCAATCAGTGCTAGATGGTAGTATGCACCCAAGGGGTATACCCAAAGGATGGACATATGTTCCACCCAGTTTTCTAGCATCATCCCCCCATTATATTAAATTCTCTTAAAAGATGAAACCTGGGGCAGAGTATTGATCTAACCCTAGGCAGTGACAAACGAAAGTATTAAGTCGTAGTGACTGACTTAACCTTCTAGTCTATGAGAATGTCTTACAAAGGTCTACTATTAACCCCATGACACCACATTATATGTCAATCTAGACTGTATCAAAGTATCAACTAGGTGAGAGTTAAGAAAGCTGAGACAATCAAGAGACTTCATGAGAAAGTTCGCCTCAATATTGAGCGTAGGACTCAACAATATGTAAAGTCGGCGAATCATGGTCGTAAACAAGTTGTATTTGAACCAGGTGATTGGGTTTGGGTACATATGAGAAAAGAGAGGTTTCCAAACTCTAGGAAATCGAAGTTATATCCTCACGGGGATGGACCTTTTGAAGTAGTGTCAAGAGTCAACGACAACGCTTATAAACTCGCGCTACCAGGTGAGTATGGTGTTAGTGCTACATTCAATGTTTTTGACCTATCTCCTATTGATTTTAATGAAGGTTTGAATTCGAGGACGAATTCGCTTAAAGAAAGGGAGTATGATGGAGACCATCGAGCTAACACTAATGGAGAGAGACATGTTGCTGCCAATAATGGAGAGGACGAGCAAGTTGAGATCGTGAATGCTTATGGAGGATCTAAAGATGCTGCTTTAAAGAATAATCCTTACATCCGTGATCCACTCTCAAACATTGTTGGACCAATGACTCGTGCTAGACGCAAGGGGATGGATGAATCACTAAATAGTCTAATTACTACTACATGGGCTAAGGAGGAAATTAAGCTTGAAGATTATAAGCCCAAGACTATTAATTTGTTGCAAGTGAAGGATTTTTCGGCCCTCAATCCAAGGAGAGCCGCCGGCCACACTCCTCATGCTGGTCGAATTGATCCCTAAAGTTTAGGGGTGAGATCATTCAAATTTTATCTCTTTGAAAGATAAGACTTTATCTCTTTAAAGGATAATATTTGGGATGATTCCTTTTATCTTATTTTTGAGTTTCCTACAATAAGGAGTCAATTTTTGATGTCTACTCAAGCGTTGGATGAAGACTACATCAAGATGGATGGATAAGATCACTCTACAAAGAAGATGATGATAGAGTTTTAACTCAAGGGAGATTCTATCCATTGGAATCTTTCTAAGAGATTATCTCTTTGTATTTTGAGTTTTAATTAATTCCTACAAGTCTTAAATGTTTTAAGACTAGTAAAAGTGGCTAGGTTCGTTATCTTATCACTTAAGATAACTAGGAGTCTTTAGAGTTTGATTTGATTTCAAATTCTTAAAGATAGGAATAGAGGTGAAGAGTTGTGTTCTTCCTCTACTTCTTGGGAAGAAATTTCGGCCACCCCCCTCTATAAATAGGGACCGAAATTCTCTTGTCCAACACACCTTGTGTCATTGATATTTTCCTGAGTGAAATTGGTTAGGATTTTATTCCTTTCGTGGAGTTCTTGTGAGGACTTCTTTGTTTAGTTGTTGCATATGTGTTGTGACAATTGTTAGACTTATCTATCTTGTTTAGTTCACTTGATAGTGGCGTCTTTAGCATTGGATCTTTTAATCTTGGTATTTGAGCTCATAGATCTCAAATCTATTGGGTTTTCCTACACAATTTTCCAAGGGGTCTCTGCTTGGTTAGAAATAGCTCTCTTCATTCTTGATTTCGGTTGTTCTACCATTAAACTCGTGAATTGATCCACGTGAGATCAAATATCTTTTCTTTTCTTTGTTTTTCTCCAAATTCCGCTGCCTACAAATCTCTGTCTTTCCGATTTAGCAAAGTTGATCTTTTTTTAAAGATTGGTTTTGTCACGGATTGCTATCATATTTTTGGTTATCAGAGCCTTCTTATGGTTTTACCATAGTTGGCATATTTAGAGCCATAATTGGTATATCAAGAGTCATATTTGGTTACCATAATTGGTCTCAAAATTCGGATTTTTGTTCTTTCTTGTTTTCTTGTTTTTCGAGTTTTCCTCTCCCAAAAGAGGGTATTAGTAATATTTTTTTTTTGAGTTGTTCACCACTTGGACAATTACTTTTAGTTTCATGCCTTTCGTTTTGTTTATCATCCAATAGCAAACTTTGGTGATTGTGTTTGATATATATCTCTCGATCTAAGATCTCTATATCTTAAGGGTGATTGATGTTCATTCATTGATTGTTGGAGGAGCTTTTGTGTTGAAGGTGTTTGTTTGATTTGGCCGTACAAAAAAAAATCGTTGAGTTTAGGGTTCTCTCGGCCGCCCTATATTGCAAAAAAAAAAAAGAGAAATAGCCGTGTAAAAAAAAAAAATCAAGACGGCATAGAAGAGAAGGAGTCTTCTTTGATAAGGTACATTAAAGGTTGCCTTGCATTAGGAGATTCCAAAAGAGTTGGAAGTGAAGTTGGAAAGAATCTTCTGGAAGAGGTATATTCAAAGTCTATCTCTATCTAAGAAGGTTAGATAAAGTTGTGTTTGATTGGGAGTTTATCTTTGCTATTTAATTGCCTATATTCTCTCAAAAGATAAGATTCTCTTCAAATCTTATCCTAATCTTATCTTATTGGATAAAACCTTATCCTATCTTATTGGATAAAATCTTATCATTATCTCATCTTGTAAAAGATAAGATTCTCTTTAAATCTTATCCTTATGTTATCTTGTAAGAGATAAAATCTTATCTTTATCTCAGCTTGTAAAAGATAAGATTATCTTTAAATCTTATCCTTATCTTATCTTGTAAAAGATAAAATCTTATCCTTATCTCATCTTGTAAAAGATAAGAGTATCTTCAAATCCTATCCTTATCTTATCTTAAAAATAGGATAAAATCTTATCCTTATCCTATAAGAGTTTGAGTTTGAGTTGGAGTCTGAGATATAATCTGAGTTTGCTTATACTTCTAAAGCAAGATCCCTATTTTTTCTCCCAAACACTCGAACGAGAT